GACCTGCCGGGCTCTGGCAATCCTTCTGCCTCAGCCTTCCAAGTAGCTGGAACTACAGACATGCACCGCCATGCCTGGCTAGTTTTTTATTTATTGTAGAGATGAGATCTCACCAGGACTGGTCTCGAACCCGCGGGCTCAGGCAATCCTCTCACCTCGGCTTCCCAAAGGGCTGAGAATGACAGGCTTGAGTCGCCCACAGATATTCTTTAAAGTAAAACGAGAATATTAAAATCTTGGAAATTTTTCTGCATACATACTTTTTTGTATTTTAAGCTTATTTTTCTTTCTGTTATGCAGTTCACATCAGCGGAAATGTTAACTCCTCGTTACTGATGCTCTCGTTCTCATTTGTTTGCGTGCAGATACCTGGGCAACCTTGTCACCGTGTTTTCCAGGCAGCACATGCGATGGCTCTGGGGCATCAGTGGGAGGAAGCCCTTTTGGATAGGCAAGTATCTGTGCTGCCCTGAGATACCCTGAAGTAGAAACACAAAGAGAATGGGTGCCACCACCGGCTGGTCCCTCTAGGAACCAAATGATTGCGATTTACAATAATAGGCAGCAGCAACGATTAGATGGCTAGTGTAACCATCTATCTTTTGAAACTCATCTTAAAACCTTTGATATGATACCTTCTCTTTTAGATATCTATCCCAAGATATAATTAGGGATGTGGTCAGATTGACAGGTAAGATAAGTCAATGCAAATAGTATTTCTAAAAGTAAAATACTTAGAAATAGGTGTAACTAAAGAAAGGTTAAATAAATTATAGTATGGCCATATGAAGAAATATTTAATACTTAACACTTTTGCAAGCATCAAGTAATAATGACATGACAAAATACCTCGTATTTATTTACTAATTCATTTAACAAATATATGAAGACACGTTATATTCTATATAAAGTATATAGTATATTGTATTTGTGGCAAAGTTCACAGTCACATGAATTGTGGGTTGATTTAGAATAAAAAAAGAAATGTATTTGCAAGTGTTATATGAAAAAAAGTCAAAAAGTTAGAAATGACTTAACCCAGCCGGGCTCGGTGGCTCAGCCTGTAATCCCACGCCTTTGGGAGGCTGAGGTG